AGCAGTTTTGTAGATATAGATACAGATTCTTCTGATAGATTACCAGGTTCAGTATCAAAGTAAAATGCTAATAATAGTGTAGATATTAAAAGGTCTGTAGTTATATTATAATCATCTAAATATGTTTTATTTTTTTTTTACTTCAGCAATTCTACTTTTATTTTATAAATCAGCAGTAAATTATAGCGAGAATTCAGTTGGCTAAATCTACTATCTAACTATTCATTACTATATATTTGTCTAAATAAAAATTCTCTCGATCTATCTCATTATTACAATAAAATTATAGTTATCTGCAATTTTATACTAGAGTATAACCCAGGAGCAACCCGCCTAAGTAAACATTTTTTTTTCTTCTGGGATCCTCAACTTTCTGAGGATATAAGCTCCAGATATCAACAGATAGTTTTCATCAACCTTGTCAGAATCACTGCCCTACAATAGAGTATCACCAATTTAATAATACTTCCTTATAAAGAAGTAAAAAAGAAAAAAAAGAGTATGGAAAATACGAGAATAGGGTAAGATATAAACAAATGTATAAAGAAAATGACCAAATTATAAAGGAATCTAAAAGCTATCCTAAAATCTATAAGAACTTATCTTCAGATATAAAACCTACTAACCAGATAAAAACTATCTACATAGTTGTAAAATTCTATATATAGAGCTATCTGACAAAAATAAAAGAAACTATATAAAAACTAAAATATACTTTAACTTGTACTAAAGGCTAAAAATTATATGTATATGACTTCAAAATAAGCATTTCTCCAAATTATCACTTTAGTTCACAACTCTTTAATAAATCTATCTCAAATCTTAGAACATCCGATTTCAAAGTCTCTGATCACGTGATCGTTGATTCTAGTGACTCTTTTGCTTAACCGAACCCTGATTACAAATGGTCCTGACTCTTATAGTTCTTCATTTTGAATATGCTTCTCTATATTTCAGATTAATAGAATTGGTCCTTTTCAATCACCATCTTTGGAAACTACTTCTTCAGTATATTCTGAATAGAAGGTTACCTAATAGCCATGTTTGATCCAAACATAGTACATGCCACTTATGATCCTTGATCCAGATATCTATTAGAACTTCATTCTTACACATGATTTGTTTTGTTTCCCAATCGTTATATCAAAACTTGTGACTTTCTGAAAATAGAAGTAGTAAACAATATAGATCTTTTAGAGAAAGTAAGCCAAATCTTCACTTTTTGTCAAAATTATAAACAAAAGAAAAACAGCAGAAAGATATTGTAGTTTTGCAAGTTTTCAACTAGAGAGTGTTATTCTAAGAGTTTTTTATAGCCTTCTGTCTCCAAACAAACTTGAGTTTACTTTCTACTTACTGTTCCCAGAGCCTTCTTTGATTTGAATGCCAAATGCAAAAAGGAGTTCACCCTAAAGAAAAAATAGGCTTGATCTCTTTGCGAACTATCTATAATGACTACTTCTAGGTGTATCATATTTAAAAACTTCATCGATAACAGTTTGTAATAAAAAAACTTCAAGTTGTTGTTAACTTCTGGTCTTGAGTTTTCTACTTGCTTTTGGTAAAAAGTTAGTACAAATGATTGTTAGTGAGAGTTAAAAATTGATTGAAGGATATATTATTATTAGATATGTTGTTTGTACTATTAGTTAATATTAGTTGATATAAATAAAATATTTGTTATAATAGTTGAAAATGAGATAGGCTCTGGTGTATAAAGAGGAATTAAGAATAAATTGTAGATTGGTAAGTAGTTTTTGATATTATATACAGAAAAAAATAATCTAAGAGGTAAGTCTTGATATTTGCTAAAACTAAATTGTTTGATTATTTTGTGATTGAATAAAAGGTTGCTATCATTTAGAAAATAAATATGTATTTCAAAATTAGTATTATTAACTGAAATAGTAATATTATTATTAAACTGTATTTATTGAAGCAATTATAAAAAGGATTTTAGTATTTGTGATGTTGATACTAGTGAAAGTCTATAATAAAGTAAAAATTTGTTATAATAGGGTTTAGAATATATTGTTCTGAACTCTTCTGCTAAAAAAAAATTTTTGCTATAAAGAAATCTTTTGCTAAAAGAAGAGTTTTTGTTGAGAAGATGACAATAAAATAAAGAAAAGTTTATCTTTAAAATTAATAGGTAAAAAGTTCATTTTAAATTTTTGTTTAAAAATTCTTCAGCTCAAAAAAGTATAGTTTCAGAATAATATTTAGTAATAGATGATATAGATAGAGTTGTCTTTTTGTAGGTCTTTAATGAGATCAAAGTAGATGATAATATAAGCAAGAAAATCAAATTTGACAAGATTACTGAATACTAGTTCTTCTTTAGTCTTGTTATTAATATTATAGTTGCAAGCTGCAATTAAGTGATATAATATAAGGTATTTGTAGAAATAAGCACTATATCATTTTTTACTAAAAGTTACTTGATTCAATTTATAGGCTGTTTTTTCAGCTTTAGTTGCAAGCTTGTCAAGAATAGAAATAAGTATTTGTGCTTTGAAGGAGGCTTTATATAGTGCATTTTTATTAAAAATAAAAGCACTAATTAAGGATTCAGTTCATACTAGTTTTTCTTCAGATGGAGATTTAAAAAAGGTTTCATAAAAGTATTTAAGTGTATTTTTGAGTAGACAGTCTTTGTCATATAAATTAAAGTTATTAGGATTGTAATATTTGTATTTTTAATCTTTATACTGAAGGATATAAAAATTAGTGAATTTAGTAGTATAAATTTTCTATCACATATATTAGAAAGTTTAAGAAAATTAAAGTTAGAAGAGATAAGATTAGTTAAATAAGATATAAATTGTTTATATATATAAGCTTGTATATTAAAGAGAGTTTCTTTTTTATTAGAGGGATTAATAAATTATTTACAATAGATAGGATATTGTTTATTAAACTATTTGTTTAAGTTCTCTCTAAAATTAAAGAGAGATGGAATATAGTATTGTTTATAAAAAAAGTTTTAGATAGATTAAATAATACGATTGTATTATATCTGAAGTTAGATTTTATCGTAAAGTAAGGTTCATCTGGATAGATTTCAATCTATAAACTATTTATCTATTTATTTATTAAATATCTGATATCTGATAATAATTGAATAGAATAAATTAAATAAATGGATATCTGAATAATCTGATAAATTATCTAGATTATATACTGTTTTTTAATTAGAATCAATGCAGGGACAAACATTTTATTGATTGAATATTGATAAGTACTATTTATTTTCTGTGTAGGTAGAGTAGGAAATAAGAGTATTATTCTTTGTTTGCAAAACGATATATAATAGTGATTTTTATTATGTATGCTAGGATTAAATCCTGTTATCATATGAAAGGCTAATTGGTATAGAATAAACAATACAAACAAATGTTTCAAAGACTATTATATGTATAAAGAGACAATCGGACTAGATATATATTATGCATCATTTCTCAATTCATATCAATTATTAAAATTATTCAATATATTTAAACTTATATATATATTCAAATCTATATATTTTCATATTATTTTTCAATTTATTTCAATTATTAATACCATATTTCATTTTTAAATTAGAAAATGGCATAGGCCATTTGTAGTTAATATAATTTTAAAAAAGTATTATAATGATTTAATTAAACATACTTTTCATATATATATATTTCACAAAGTATAATTAAAATTTTATATATGTATGCAAAATATTTTCAATATAATTGCTTTAAAAAATAGAATACATCTATGTTGTCTTGAGTATAGCAAAATTTTGATAGTGGCTTAATTATAATTTGTAGCAATTTTTTTAAAAGAAATTTTAATTCTATTATAGTTGGACTATTTGAATTTTTATATGAATATTTTAGGTTAAAAATGGTTTAACTGTTATGAACTAAGAGTTTTTATTATTACAAACTTGGCAAATAGTAGTTCATCTGCAGTAAAGATTCAAACTCTGCTTATTTCTTATATATCTATTATAAACAAAATGATAATTACTAAATATCGAATAAAAAATTTGTCAAGTTTAATACAGTCATTAGTGATAGAAAATTATAAATTGTAAATCTGTAAGTATTATAAAAAAAAAAAGTATATGACAGTAAAAAAACTATTTGTATTGTATCATTGCAAATACATATTCATTTAATATACAATTAATAAGTTTTATTATCATATAGCCATATTATTGATGACTATACTAAAAATTTTCATATTTGTATAGTTTACATTATCACTGTTTTATCATCTTTTTTTCAGTCTTTAAAATAATCTAAAAAAAAAGTTAATTAAAAAAATATAATTATATACTTATGTAGTTTAATTTGATAACATAATTACAAATATGATATAGAAGTATAGTTATCAATAACTACTATACAATAACTATAAATTATTATATGCAAGACTTATCAACATTAAGAACTGACTTAAGTCATTTTTCAAATATATAAAATTTTAAAGTATACCTAGTATTCCTTGTCTATCATTTATGATAATATAAAAAAATTAAAAGTGCAAAAAATATTGATCATACCAGAGGAAATAGTTGACTAAAAAAAACCAGTAAGATTGCTTACTAGGTAATTAAGAAGCAAATTAAAAAGAATTCATCTATTTCAACAAGAACTTTGGCAATATACTTATCAAATATAGGTATTTATATATTATATTGAATAGTTGGAAAGTATTTGGTCACAATAGAATATGTACAAAGTATTTCACAAAAAACTCCTATGCTAACTAATGATCAAAAAAAAAAGAGTAAAATGGGTTTGAGCTCACCTTAATAATAATTGGGACATAACTTTTTTTATAGATAAATTGGCCTTTCAACTTTTTAGAACTATACTTAAACGTTAGTATAAATGTGATCAGCATCTAATTCGTCTCATTCCTAAAGACTGTACTAAAATTAAAGTATAAGTAGTTTTTAGTAAAGAGATAATCAATCTTATTTTGCTTTACACAAATTATAAATAAGAAATTTTATGTTGAAATTGTGTGTTAGCACCTTTTGAAGATAAGAAAAATAGTTGGTAAGTGTTGGTGATAGCAACAAAATAATAATTTAAAACATACAAGCAAATTTGCCAAAGCTTCACTTTTGAAAAAGTTTCTGAACTTATGGACTGGCTATTAAACAATCCTGATTTAAATTCTATTAAAAACCTTTGGGGTATCATTAAGGACAATATAGAAAAATGTATACCAAAAAATTAACAGAATTAGAGCAATATATAAAAGAAGAATAGAATAAAATTTCAAATTTAGTATTAGTTAGTTTAGTAAGAAATATGAAGCAATGATGTGAATTAGTAATTGAAAATAATGGTGAATGAATATCATTTTGAAAATAAATTATTTAATATTTGTCTACTAACTACATAAATTTTATATAATTCTACACAATCATTTTCCCATAATCATATAATTTTTAATTTTAATTTTTTTTGTTTCACGGTATAAAGTTAAACTTTTACAAAAAAATAAATTTGTTAATACGCAGAATATGATCTATAAAGTTGGTTTTGATTTTTTGTGTTTTTTTGTATAATATCTAATTTTGAAATCGATTTGGCCTGAAAAATTTTTTAAAGTAGTAATACTAGAATAGTTCTTCATAGTACTTCAGATAATTTGGTTAATCTGTTTCAGATATCTGATATAAATGAATAAATATCTAGTTATGTTAATGTAAATAAATAGATAACAGATTTATCTGGATTGAAACTTTATTCGAGTCAACAGATTTGATCTTAGTAGTGATGTGAAACTTTTTAGATATAAAGTTAAGATCTTTTGCAAGTTTAATATAGTTGATAGTTTGATATTATTCAGTAAAGTATAAATGAAGATATGCAATATTAAAGCAAACTTGAAATCTTTGTTTGTGAGTATATGGAAAAAAGGTAAGAAATGATTCAAAGATTTTAATATAGTTGAGTTTAGTGAATAGAATAGTTGTGAATTTCAGTAATAGGCTTCTGAATGTGGTTTCAAGATATTTGAAAGGAATAAATGCTTTGGAGTTGATATCTAAATTGGCTTTGTAAATAATATTAGTAAGAAATTGTGGTTTTTTAGCTACTATAGTATAAACAATATATTGAAATAAGGCTTTAAGTGGAGATCTGATTTTGGTGACAGACTTGATTTCTTTCTCTGGATAGAAGTTATATAGATATTTTTTAATAAAAAAAGAATTTATCTAGGCAAAAGATTGAGTTTTGTCTGTTTTTTCATTTCCTTATTAATAGGAAATTTGGTAAGCTAATCTAAACTTGCAGAAGATTTGTTGTCTGCCTTTTTTCTTTTTGATAATGTAGTTTGTTTAGCAGTTCTTGTGATTAGGCTTCTTCTTCTTGTAATTATTTGTATATTGCTGCTGATATATATTAGATGCTTTTAAATAAATCAGTTTGACCTTCTATATATTCATCTGTTTTTATTTTTATAGGTTGTAGTTGCTATTTAAATTGTTGTTGTTGTTGCTATTGTTGTTTTTGTTTGTATTAATTATTTTGTAGTTGTACTTGTTTTAGCAGTTGTTTGTCTGCTTTTTCTGTTTTTTTTCTTTTTTTGTTTTTTGTTGAAGACATTTCAAATAATATGCTTTATTGTCAAAAAAAAAGCAACTTTCTAGAAGTTGGTAATTATTGTTAATAGCTTTATAGTTGATCACAATCTAGTGTTTTAGAAGCAGAAAAGATTGAAATAGTTGCTGATGTTGATACAATAGCATGATTTATTTATTCTGTAATTTTTTGTTTGTTTTCTTGCCAATGACAAGAGCTAAAAATATAGAAGTATAAATGACATTAGTTGAAAGGCAAATTATCGATATTTCTGGCTGGTGATACCTAGTTTATATATATCTGACCTAAAATTAAAATCGGTCATTTAATTTTTGTTAGAGTTAGAGTGATATAAGATTAGAATAAAGGCAGGTGTTATAAGTAAAATTGCCTTTACAACATTTTTAATTAGTGTTCTGATATAGATTTAGAAGGCTGTTTCTTGTATTTTCTACATTTTTTGCTTTTTTGCTCTTTTTGTTGTTGTTTTTGTTTCATTAGACTGATTCGAGATGATTGCTCTTTGTGTTACAAATATATTATACAAAACATAAATCATGCATTTTAATTGGCTATTAGGTCTGTTAAATATCTCTTAGGTATCACAAGCCAGAGATACCGAAAAGCTCCTCAGTTGAAAAATGAAATTGTGTATAAAAGTTGTTACAAAGATATTTAACTATTATAGTTATATGTAATACTTTAAAAAAGTGAGTTTTTCTAACTTGTCTGATATTTACTATAATACAACTTGATGATTCAAATTAAAGAGAGATTGTTCTAACATTGTTTGGTTTGTCTTTATAAATAGCAACTTCAAAAGTATTTATATAGTTTGTATAAAAAACATTGAGATCGAGTATATTAAGATCTTGATTAATAGAAGTAGACATATTGGTAAATATTTTTGCTTAAGAGTGACAGTATAGTTGTTTTAATAAGATTCTTAAAAAATAGCACTTTAAGAATGTTAAATAATAATCTTGTATAATTCAAATTAGTCTAAAGTAGCACAAGAGTATAGCTGATATAACAGAAAAGTTATATATAACACTAAACTATATATTGAAGTACAAAGGTTGTATAAAAATAATAACAGATAATAATGATAAAAATAGGTTTGTATTAATAATTAGATTACTATTTTAAGTAATTTAATTGATACAATAAAAAATTTAAGTAAATTTAAGTTTAAAAGTAATTTTCTGTTATACAAAAAACAGGTTGAAGAAAAAGAAGTTGAGATAAAGATAAAGAATTTTTTAGAAAAGTTTTTTGTTCGTAACTTAGTTAATATTAAGTTAAAAATTTTTATTAAGAGCTTGTTTTAACTGGATGAGTAAGCTTAACAACTTATTTTAAAGTTATTAGATAAGTTGTAAAGACAATTTTAGTGAAATAGATAAAGTTTAGATTTTAAAACCAAAAGTAGTTTTTGTAATATTATGCTTCAAGTTTTTAAGATAAGAGCTTAAAACTTTTAAATTATATGTAAAATTTTAAGCTAAACAATTTTACTTAAGATGCTAAAGATAGTTATCTTAATACAATAAAATATTGTATTAGAACAGTGTCATTTATCATCTAATTTTTTTTTATCAGAAGCTTACTCTTCTCTTATTATATATTTTGATCAGAAAAAATCACCTGATTTTTGTCACATCCTTTATTAACAATTTTTGACTAGTAAATTTTTAATTAAATTTTGTATAAGTGATTAATAGAAAGAGGTTTAGCATTTTTGCTATTTTGTTTTATTATTTATATTTATAATATATTTTATTAATGCTAAATTAATTCTTACTGTTTTAGCTTATTCTGCCTATTACTTATCTTTTTGCTTTTTTGATTGCATTTTATATTTGATTATACAGTGCGTACAACCTAGTCGCAGCAAATAAAAATTTTTAGTGGCCAAATTCAGATTTTATTTTTTATATATATGAAGAGGCCAATTTGAAAATTTAGCTAATATTTATATATAAAGTGGCCAAATTTTAAATTTTTAATATATATAAAGTGGCCAAATTTTAAAATTTTAATATATATCAAATTAAATTAATTGTTTAAAGAGGCCAAATTTGCTTTTTTACATATATATAAAAGGTGGCCAAATTTCATATTTAATTATAAAAATACTATAACTTTAACCTACTATAACTTTTTAATAAATAGATTTAAAAAAATTTTAAGAACTTGGAAGTGTTTAGCTTGTTTTAATTTAACATTTTAAGATAGTATTTTTTGTTTACTATTTTTTTTGAAGAAGGATTAGCAATTTGAATTTCATCAATTTTATTTGCTGGGACTAGGTTGTACACACTGTACAAAAAAAAAAGTTTGAAAAATTTTATTCGATTGCATTTTTATTCTACTCTGAAACATTTTATTCGATTGTATTTTTATTCTACTCTGAAACATTTTCATACATCCATCTATGTTATTTTACGTCCACCTTGTTGCTACGTCAATGGCATTTTCATTCGTTATATTAGCAATTACAGGGTCTTTAACCTTGGTTATATATATATATTTAATTAGTATAATCAGTATAGAAGTTTCGACAATAACAAAAGAATAATAATTTACTTTGGCAGATTGCATTATCAAAAACATTGATCAAGAAATGCATATATTGTTATAGTGAATAATGTTTTTAGACCTGATTCCAAAGTTTGGGTCTGTGCTTCTCTCATATATCATAGTAAACGTACAGGTTTCTTCAACTGAGGTTAAAGAAGCAAAGTTAAAGGACCTTTGTTTTCGTCAATAGCATGAAGTATAGTTCATTGGGTTTGTTAAAAAAAAAAAGGGATGTGTCTGAAAAAAATTTAAAGCATAAACAGATTTGTTTATATTACTATAATATAACAAAATCATTATTTGTAAAGCTTCTTTCGTGTGATCTTGAACTAGACCTGGACTTGTGTGTTGTTGATCGATTATGGCTTTAATAAATTATCCTTGTCATTGAGTTGATGTTGTTGAGTGGTTTCGGCGAGAAGACATGGATAGGGAATTGAATGACATCGTAGCACTATGCCAATGTTGTAAGAACGTCATTCCACACATTTTATCAAAAAGGAAACAAAAATATAATGTGTTGATTGGAATGTCGGTTATTTGTTTGTTGTCCAGAAATTCCAGTTATAATTGAAATATTGGTTAATTGATTGTTGTCCAGAAATTCCAGTTACATTAATGTTTCTAAAGATGATGAGTTTTGGTCTTTTGTTTTAGCCCTGTTCGATAACTGTTCGATAACTTGAATTGATTTCCGGGATTAATAATCATTTCTCTATGTTGTAGAAGAATAAGCTGCGTTTATTAGAGCTTGATATTCATGTGTAGGGGTAGTAGTGATTTCTACTATTATGTTGTAAAAAGAATAAGCTGTGCTTATTAGAGCTTGAAATGTCTTCCGGTAGTTTGCTATCCATGTGTATCGTTCATGTAAGCTAAAATATTATACTGTTGAGACCGAAAACTTTTAGTTGTGTGATGTGATACTGATACTGATTTTTGACTCATCAAATTTTGGAAACTCTTTTTTTTACAACCTAAATTCGTAATCATCTACTTTGTCACTAGAAAGTTCTATGAATAGGCAGAGCTTTTGACGCGTTTTCCTTTTTCTGAACACTC